TACGTATCACGTTTTAACGACATACGTATCACGTTATAACGAGATACTATCACGTTTTAACGAGATACATAACACGTTTTAACGAGATACGTATCACGTTTTAACGAGATACGTATCACGTTATAACGAGATACTATCACGTTTTAACGAGATACGTATCACGTTATAACGAGATACGTATCATGTTTTAACGAGATAACTATCACGTTTTAACGAGATACTATCACGTTTTAACAAGATACGTATCACGTTATAACGTGATAGCGCTCGAATTTTTTTTTTTCCTGCGTGATAGCAATGTGCTTCCGTAGTAATGTCACCAAGAACAACAGAGTAGTATTTTTCTAAGTAATTCTATTGCTATCAAGCCCACACATTTTTTAGTAACACATTTGCTGTCAAGAACACATGTAGCCAGCTTCTCGTTAACTCAGAGTTGTGTGTGAGTCACAGGAACACTTACATTTAGTGTGGCTGTAAACTCACTCACTAAATCTCCTCAGAGACACAAGTAATTGCTCCAAATTGACCTGTTCCGCAGCCAGGTGACCTGCAGGGATGTCTATACTAATGATTTTTCACACAGGGTCCAACGCTTCCAGCTGAACATGTGATTGAAGTTTGTAAGAAGGTGGTCCTGGAGCAGATGTCCACCTTTGCCAACTCAGTAAAGAGGACGTGTGCTGCAGTTTGTCCTCTCTACGGGGACGTTCCCATGGGTGCCCCTGGTCCCCCCGGACAGAAAGGACCCGCGGGGCCTCCTGTAAGTTTTGCTGTTGTTGATGAAGCATCATGCTGAACTCCTGCAGAACCTTTGGCATCAGAGCTTTGTCTTAGTGTTATACATGCATGCATTGCTCACTTTTGACTTTTGCTCTTCCGACTGAGCCACATGCAGCATTGCAAGGGTCTGGACTGGACTGGGAAGGCTAAAGTATTTGGCAGAAAAACTCGGAATAAAAACATTGCAATTTTCCACGTCTCCATGAGGACAGATAAGGAGTCACAGACAAGACAAGACACTTGGTCTGTGTTGAGTGGTTCTTGGCTGTCTTTCAATTGGACAGCCTTCCTCACATTATACAATGGAGAATCAATTCATGTTCCACGGCTCTTCACTGCAGGAATTTTAATGCTGAAAAATATTTTTGAAGCCGTGACTCCATTGAATTGTTCAATATTTATTATTATGCTGAGTAACCTTGATGTTTGGCTGGTCATTGGCCAAAATGCACAGCTCTTAAGTTTTTTAAAGAAATGTATTTACACTGAGGATACACATAGAATATTTTTGTGTCATATAGTGTAACTAACAGTTTGTTTTGTGATGGTGCTGCCAGGGTGACCCTGGTACTGATGGTGTTGCTGGGGAAACGGGCCTACCAGGATTCTATGGAGAAGGTGGTGAGCCAGGCCGACAAGGAGAATCAGGTATTAAAATCATGTTTTAGGAATCCAATTTGTTCACAGCAAAAACTGTAAAACACTGTTTTCAATGCAGTAAATCTCAGTTTCAGACAGAATGGTGGAAAAAATTATTTTTTTTTTAGCACCAAGTAGAGGAAAACAAGCTTTAGGTGCACTATGAATGCACAGTACTGTCACTATATCCTATATCACATGGATAATTTTCAAATGGAGCAATAAGTATTTTATAAATAAACACTCGTGGGTCACTTTATAAGGTGTACATGTTTACATACATGTACACCTTATACATGTATATAATTAGCTGAGATGGAAAGTTCATCTCAGCTAATTATGTCACAGCAACTCAGTTTAATGTGTCACCCTTGGTTGAAGCATTTGGGTTTATCCAGAAACTGATTTGTGGTGAATGGCCTGTACTTGTATAGTGCTTTATCTAGTCCAGAGGACCCCAAAGCACTTTACATTACATCACCCATTCATGCACACATTCACACATTGATGGTGGTAAGCTACTACATTGCAGCCACAGCTGCCAAGAAGCGAGGCTGCCATGCACCGGAGCCACCAGGTTCTCTCACCGCAAGGTGGGCAAAGTATCTTTCCCAAAGACTGACTGACACAGACAGAGCACGGCTGATCATCTACAGGGCCTGTCATGCACAACCCCTGATCAGAAAAAATAGCAAATACCCAGTAAGCAGCAATTAATACCTTTTTGAGCTCAAAGAATACCATGCAACAATTTGCACATTGGAGGTGTGTGCAGTTTTCTCCACCAGTTAGAAGGAGAACTTAGTATTTAGCCAACATGTATCTTTGTGTAAGGGGCCTTATCATGACACTGTATTTAATTGACTATTTGCTTCATGGCAAGAGAGCCAAAGCAAAGACGGAGTAGAATATCTACAACGTCAGTGTTTCCTTGAGAATTTCAATAAATTTCTTGAGGCTTTGGGGTCCCATCACTGTTTCTCCTTTAAATATTCTGATCTACACTTGTACATGTGTGGGTCACCTATTATAAACAATTTTTTTGATGCTGCTATCTAGGCTAGGCTTCTCTAGACCCCTTACATAAGGCGACCATGAAATGCACCATGATGTGTATAAGGTGAACTACCACACCATCTCCACAGAAATATTCTTTATGAACTCAGGTCACATAAAGGCATCAGGGACCCTGTGAAGACCGTGTTTGTTCAGTATGAAAATCTGTGAAAAGCAATTCAGCCAATGTCAGTTCCTCACCTTGTTCATAATATGAGACAAAAATGTGAATCTGGTTGAAACATGGACATTAAGATGTTGTTGCTTTTGTGTTTTTCAGGAGAGGTACAGGGAGAAAGTCATGAAAGAAAAAAATGTTTAATGAAAATCTACTACTAGCGTTTACTGGTGATTTGAAATGTGATTTAAATACCCGCAGATGCTTCTCAGTGGTGAAGTTCCAGCTGCAGATAATATATTTCAAAGTATGTTTTCACAAGGATTTTAGGTTCTCATGCAAGCTGTCGAAATAACAAAGTATTCCCAAACTGTTCCAAGACGTGTATCTGACAGTGATCGCTGGAACATGCTTTCTTTCATTATCATGAATGATGCTGACACCTGCGTTTGCAGTTGGCTACTGCGAAAAGATTAATCGTTTTGGATGAATTGCAGGTGACAGAGGAGAGCATGGTGATAAAGGAGTCAAAGGTTATGGCATTCCTGGCTTCACCGGCGATCAGGGACCAAAGGGTAATTTGATCGTTTAATAAGTGTTGGTTGATTATTTAGCTATAAAGAAGAAATATTAAATCATTCCCAGATTTGGGCTTGTTGTAATTTTCAGACTGTGTTTTACTGATCCTTGGCTTTAAGTTCCAGGGAAACCATGTGGAGGTTTTTCGCAGAAGTGTTGTTACATCACAATGTGTTGTTTGCCAAAACAGAAATAGTATTTCTGTGGAAGTTTTCTTTTCCTGGAATCTGTAGAAAGAACATTTCTGTTCAGCTAAACGAACATTTCTGCCCCAATTCACAGGTCAGCGTGGGCGTCCCGGCAGAGCCTTTAATGGTCAGCCTGGAAAACCGGGTGAAAGGGGACATGCAGGCCGGCCGGGGCTCAGGGGCCACCCAGGTCTCAGGGGCCCCCCAGGCGTCTGTGTGACCTCTGGATGTGCTGAGCAGAACTCACTGCTCAGTGGGACACGCCAGCCAGCACCACAGAGGCTGAGAAATCGCTCCTAAAAGGAAAAGAGTCTAACTAGGAGGATAAACTTTTATCAAAGTCTTCTCTTGTTGGGCTGTTTAAAACATTTTAATGTAAATATTCTAAATAAACCTTTGCTGTAGTCTTGAAACAAATGTCTCCAGAGGAAACATTCAGAGGAACAAAATATGATTGTTTGAAGAAATAACTTTATTTTGGAGTTTTATATAAAATGATTTACTCACCTCTTACTGGTCTTTAATCATCTAGGTTTTTTCAAATTTAAAAATAATGATAATTGAATCAATGCCATGGTGTGTCATAACAAGGGCAAACACTAAATCCTGTTGGGAGATGTGAAAAATGTATACACATATTACTCCATGATGTTTGACTCTCAAGTGAATAAATAATTATAAATAGATAAACAGCTTATAGTGCTGTTTGACATATTTTCCACACATATTTGACAGAGCTTTGATAGCTTATTAAACAAAAAGGCCATTTTGTCGGAAGGCTAGGCTTTGCAGTAGCACTTCAGTGAAAGTGATAAAATGAATGAATGAAATCATCAACCTTCTTGTATTTCCAGTTCAATTCAGTTAAGTTAAACTCTGTTCATTTATTTTTATTTTCTTTTCAGTTTACAGCAAATGTCATTTCACTCTTAAATCAACTTCTTCAAGCTCTCACTCAGCAGTAAGCAGGCTCACTTTGAGCTAAAACATTGTGTCTCTTTTCTTCATGAACTATCTAAAACACTTACCTCCAAATAGAGACATCAGGATGAGCTGCACTCTGGTTCCTCGTGTAAAAAACAACATTGTTAAGCTCAGGGTTTATTACTGTCTAATTAAGACTTGCCTTAACTTTTACCAAATGAGGAAGGCAATAAAATGTTCATGATGTCTTCAGACGTAATCTTTAGAATTAAAGCAGTAGTAATGTTTTTGTACCATGACCACAGATGGTAACAAAGCTATTTGATGAAAAAAAAAAAAAAGAAACAAAACAATGCATGGTGGTTTTTCATTCGCTCCAGTGACTTTATGAGTGAAGTGAGGCAACTTCTGACTAATGACGATAATACACATATTTAAAGCTGCAATATGTAACTTCTACAAAAAATATTTTTTTGCATATTTGTTGAAAGTATCACAATGTCACCCCAATATGAGATAATCTATGAAAAAAATTAGCTCCTCTACCTTCTGCCACTGCCCCCGGTGTTAACTACAAGCAACTAATCAGTGGGGCAGTTTTAACAAATACATAAAAACACATGTTTTTTTTTAAATAAAAATTACATACTGTAGCTTTGAGTTCCTTTTATTCCTTGGCATTGACATGCACATAGAGTGGCTGAATTGGGTTCAAATACAGGGACCAACCAGTGGAACTTGACTGGATTTGTCAGTGGATGTCCTTTTCAATGCTGTTTCAATTTTTCCATCATTATCAAAAATATATTTACTCATTAAAAAAATACTTTCACGATGAGCTCTAGTCCCAAATGTGTTATTTGGGAGCTATATTAAATGCAGACAGTTATCCTCCTATCCTTTTGTTACTGCTGCATCATGTGTGCCTTCCTTGCAGCCCTCGTTTATTCAACCAAAGTATCCACCTCTGTCATGGAAACTATGACTAATTCATAATCCTGAATTTGCTTTCTGGGCTCAGCAGCTTGCTTCAGACCTGCTCACAATTTATTTCTGTGGCGGACCAGAAGAGCTCATGGTGAACATGACTTGATTCATACAAGTTGAATAAAATGTCCCCGTACAGTTGAGCCTCAAAGTAATAGTGTTAAATCAAAAGTTATTTGAGGTCTCATGTCGTCCACCAGACAGTTATTTCAACATTTAAGAGTGGCTGCCAGACCTTGTTCATGTAACTTTGGTTTTGATGACGTGAACGTGAGAGCGTTTTTGAGGCTGTTACTGTAACTGCGACTGTAGATTTGTCTGTTTATACTAACACAAACTGCACCGCATCAACCAAGTAAACATACAGGCAAAGCATGACTTTAGCAGGTAGATCCATAACAATCTGTCACTGATTTAATTTACAATTAAACATAATGCATTATGCACAAGTTATATGTATGTTATATGTATGTTTTAGCCATTTGTTTAATTTATATTTATTTCTAGTTAAGTTGTTTTTCAAGAAGACCACACACACATGATAATAAAGTCAAGTTTGCGGAGTTCAGTTTTAGCTGAAACATTTGATCTGCTGATGATCATGAGGAAAGTAGATGGAAAAACAAGAATTGGAGTTAAATTACTTTTACGTGATTCTGTTTAAAGGTTTTGATGAAGGTATTTTGAAGCTTAAAGGCAATGCCTATCTGCGGATCGTCACTGCTTCAAGGCTGCTCAAATGCATTCTTCGTGCATAAGGTTAAAATTCTGGGGCCATCAGTTGTAAGGACTTTAGATGATTCAATTTAACATTCTATGTGCTGATCATCAGAGGGCGACACTCTTCCAATCTCTAAAATCTCACTACATTGCCTTCTGAGTCTGAAACAGTTAGGTGAGGTATGGTGCCTTGCAAAAGTCTTTATTTATGAAGTAATGCATTATTGAGTTGCATTACGCAACACTGTTAAAGTTCCAGGTGCTTAATATAAAGAAATCAAAGCTTTATTAAATCAAATCAAAACATCTTCCATCTTTAATGCAAAGGGATCTCGTACAGTTTAACCAATAAACATACAGATATGTCACAAGGAAATATATGAAAAAAAAGTATTAACTTCATTGCAAGTCTGCATACCCTAAGTGAAAACTGTTGAAGCACATTTTAATAGGATTTTAGTTTAGCATTCAGTCTTCTCCAGTATGTGTCCTCTCTATGTTCTTCAAATTGTTTAACCTTTGCGGACATTTCTTGTGCAGAGCCAGGGTGAAAACTATGCCACAATTTAGACAAGTGTCATCTTTTTATTACAAAATGTGAAACCTCATCTGTGCAATAATCATGTCTGTTGAGGCATGTCCTTTAGTAAGGAAAATTATATCCAGTCCAGTGATTCAAAGGTTCCGTCCTTCGTCTATTCTGTGTCAAAACTACCAAAGACAGACTATGAACAAACAGCAGCAGACCTACACAAAGTACACATCCAAAAGTCTTCAGCAACAGGAAAAACAGAAGGATGTTACTCTTAAGCAATATTATATCAGTTCTGTCCTCCCACCATGAAATATTGTGGTGGCAATGTCATACTGGAGGAAGGATATTTGGCAACAAGCATCGATCCTCACTCATGGAAAGACAGATGGAGCTAAGTAGAGGGGAAACCCCTGAAGTAGGAATGTTATGGTCAGCAAATCTGCAGTTCCTGTTTTTGCTCCAGACGCTTGTTTGGTGATTATGCCCCTGGTATGGGTTGCCACTGACAAATAATTGGTTTTCAGATATAAGGATTTAACCAAGAGGTTTCCATCTAAAAGAATGCAAGCTGAATTTATTTTTGTTTTAACTCAGAATACACTGTTTCTTTGCAAAAATAGGATATTATACCATAAGACACAACGGTATATCAATGCAATTTCACACATGCTCATATGTTAGAAGGGCCTAGTCGAAGTTCAGACCTAATTCCAATGCAGACCTAAAACTACTTTTGAAAAAAAAAAATCAATCATCATATGACTGATTAAGTGATCAATTTCATGAATATATACATTACTTCCATATACAAACAATCAACATTGATATTGTTTCTAAATTAATATTAACTTGTTTTCTTTGCGTCACTTGGGGTCTGAAAGCACTGTATCTTATTTGTTATTTGACCATTTTTCATTTTCTGCAAATAAATAGAAACATTTTGCTTGGAATTTCAGATGTGTTGTCAGTAGTTCATAGAATAAAAGAACAATGTTCATTTTACTCAAGTATACATCTATGAACAGCAAAATCAGAGAAGCTGATAATTAGCGGTTTTACTAATGTCCCTTCCTTCTTACTAACTGTACTCCATTAAAAGTTTGAGAAGTTCTGCAAGATGGAGAGCACATAAAAAGCCACAAATTCATTTGAAATCATGTCTCTGCTCACATAGTCATTAGAATTGGGTTGCACATGATGTATACAGCTATTTGGTTTCTAGTCTCACTTTAATTTATGTATGTTCTCACAAACTAACATGGTGGCATTAAGTTCCAAACAAATGTCATCTAATTACAGTGGTTTCACTGAAGTATAATTATGATAATGTCGTCTTGCTTATTTCGTTGTCCTCATGTTTCCAGACCTGACCTCAAAAATCATAGTGGCCATCTCAGCGGAAATAAATAGACTGGTTCTCAGCAACGTCGCTTCCTTCGAAACACATGCACCTCCTTCGGAGAAGACAGAAAATTACTCAGCATCGGAAAGTCTGGTGTCTCAAACAGAATGGCCACTCCCAGGGTCCAGGACACCAGCCCAGTATTTGCATTCGAGAGCCGCCAGAGTGTGCTGAGGCTCAGGGTCAACAAGGCCATTGCAATGAAATCCCTGCCATGCTCACACAAAGGGAAAAATGCCTTAGGAATATCAGTATACAAAACAATCTCAATTCATTTCAGAATGCTTGATAAACAAGGTGCAGATCAAGTCAATTGATGATGTTACTTAAACATGCATGTTTGGTCAAAGCAGAGAATTATTAGGATAATTGTTATAATTCTGCTAATACATTGAATTGTTATATTTTTCTCTGAAATTTAGCTGAAAATGACCTGAAAACAATATTTTGGAATAGTAGGCCACCAAATGTTACCTGGGAATCTGGCATCAGGACCTGGAAATTGTCCCTCTGTTACCTTGCCTACTTAAAATTTTATTAAAATTTTAAATTGATAAAAAAAAACAAAAAAAAAAAACAACATTATTATTAGGAGCCGTCTGTCTGCTTCTGTGAACTGTTCTGTCCCCTGTTCTAAATGTGCTTCGCACATCGTAAGATTGCTTGGAGCCTTCCTTTATAACCAGAGTCCAACCATGATAAGACATGTTCAAGAGGATTAAAGTGAAATCTGCCTACTCCACAGATAACAGCTGCAAATCAGCATTGCTAATGTCTTCCAGCTGTTCATGGAAGCCCCTTTCACACCTTGTCCGCTCCTAATTCATCCATTGTAATTTGTTGTTCCCTCCTAATATCTCGTGGAATTGGAGTGATGGAATGTAGAGCAAAGAAT